AGACTCTAACTCAAAAAAAAAAAAAAAAATTCATGAGCCACAACTATCCTCGTGTAATCTTCCTCTGGATTTCCATCTCCATCAGAATGTGAAAACTGCTATTTTGTAACCCTACAGGGTTCGAGCAGCAATCACATATGTATGCTAATACCACTGCAAGAGGGATTGCCAGGGAACCCACAGACTGTTCCAGGCCAAGATGTCAGCACACTGGTTACTTTTTACTTATGAAGGGACATGCAGATCTTTGTAGCAGAGAGAAGATGACCTGCCACCCTCACCACCATCATATTTAGGGTCACTCAGAGGGACCATAGGTACCATAGGCACCATCGGATCCGAGGTATGGGCATCACCTGGTCACCAGAAATGTTTAGCCTCAATCTCAATAAGCCTCCAGACCTGACCTCAGTGTACAAGAGATACAAGGGTTAGAACAACCTTGTGCAAAAATCAAACAAACCCAGAATGTAGAACATTCTTTAAGAAAACTGACCTGGACTCACAGAAGTTACAGGGGAAGAAACAAAATGTGGAAAGACTATTCTCTCCTAGGAGCAAAACAAATATAGACATTTAACAACCAATATAAGTGAGTGAGCCTGGGCTGGATAGCCTAGGTGGAAAAAAATACAAGCCATCAATGGCATGAGGGTGGCGACTGAATATGGACTGGATATGCGATGATATCCTGGAGGACAGTTGGCTTTCTTTTCTTTCTTTCTTTCTTTTTTTTTTTTTGAGTCAGAGTCTCACTCTGTTGCCCAGGCTGGAGTACAGTGGCACGCACACGGTCACCGCAGCCTCAACCTGCTGGACTCAGGCAATCCTTCCACCTCTGCCTTCCAAGTAGCTGGAACTATAGGCACGTGCCACCATGCCCGGCTAATTTTTTCATTTGTTGTAGAGACAAGGTCTCACCATGTTGCCCAGGCTGGTCTTATACTTGTGGGCTCAGGCAATCCTCTCATCTCCGCCTCCCAAAGTGCTGGGATTACAAGTGTGAGCCACTGTGCCAGGCTGGACGACTGATTTTTTTGGGTGTGACAATGGCATTTGAATTATGTAAGAGATCACCCTTATTCTTAGAAGAACACACAGGTGCACCTATGGGTGAAGTGTTATGCTGTCTACAATGTGTTTTCCATGTTTTTTGGCATAAGAAGAGAGGGAGAGAGAAAGCAAATATGTTAAAATCTAATGAGTTGTTAAATCTGGGATCATTCTGCAACTCCTTCAAGTTGTGTACATGCTTGAAAATTTTGTGATAAGAGGTTGGGGTGCATTTGTTGCATCTTGCATTTTATATCCAGTGTTCCTCAGAACTCTTTGACCCCTGCCCTTGTGAGTCTTTGTCTTTCTGCTTTGCAGTTCGGGACCGAGTCAGGTCGAAGATGGAGCGAGACATCTTGGCAGAAGTGAATCACCCTTTCATTGTAAAACTTCATTACGGTAAATAGAGTCAAAATGGCGCCTCTGAGAGACCCCAGGGCAGCTGTCTCCAGACAAAGGAAATTGAGAAAAATAATAGATCAGGAGGAAGAAAATCCTCTATGTACCAGAGTCCAACCCTATCCAGGGGTGAAGGTATCTTACCTCCTGACCCCTTAATCTCATTTGTGTTCATTTTCTCCAAAAGAGCAGGGTGCCCAGTTTTCATCTCAAAGGCCTAAGTTTACGTGGGGCTGTTTATGATAAGTAAAGTGTCATCACTGAGAATTTAGCAAAAGGGTCTCTTAACCTTGATCGGGGTAAATCTATGACATTTCTGTGCTGTTATAGGGAAAAAAAAGAGCTTGGTGACCCAATACTTTAAACCAGAAATGACAGCACAACCAGTGTTACTTGACTACTATGTCTCAAGCAGTTCAAAGACAGTTGCTCATTGGACCCTCAGCACCTTCATGCAAGGACGGTCCTTCTGTCCATTTTTTGAGGCCTAGATCGAATAACTGACCAACAGCCACATGTTTGCTCCTCCATGCTTCTCTTAGCTTGCTTTCTGCCTTATTATCTCAGCAGAAAGCAATAAGCAAAATCTTGCAATTAAAAATATTTAATAACATGGTGACTCCCAGGGTTGTGCTGTACTACACTAAAGTTTGCTGCTCACATAATAATTTGAGTAAAGTTCAGAAAAGAAAAACAGCAACACTTGTACCTTGTGTTGGTTGCAAAAGAAGGGTATGTTTATGGGAGACTGCTGGTGAAATTCACGTAAATACAAAGCAGAGGCATAACACAGGCCCAAAAGCAAGGGTGAGGAGACGTGCCAAGTCAGGCATCCCTGGGACTCCTTCTAGGCTGGGGCAGCTCCCTGACAGTCACCACCTTACAACCAAGGGGCAGAGAGGTTGTCACACTGCCTCTGAGGTGCTAGCCAAGTCCAATCCTACTATCATTTCGAATGATTCCCAGGGAGTTTTCCTCAAGAAATGAAGAACTAGAGATCCTACAGAGAGGTTTTTGTTTTGAGTCAGAGTCTCACTTTGTCCCCCAGGCTGGAGTGCAGTGGCACAAGTGGCTGGGACTATAGGCACCACCACATCCGGTTAATTTTGTGTGTTTG